AAATGAACATAGTACAAATACATTGAAGTATTTGAAGTTCCTGGCCATATCACTCCTATTACTTCTTAGAAAGCATCTAATCAAAACACTTCCAATTTGCAGTATTCAGCATTGGACCGAAATATAATCTAATCTCTTACCAAATGAGACATATCTAATTTGGTGTATTTTTTTCTTCAAATATTAAACACCATTGGAGATTTCTTATTATTACAAGACAAACTACTAGTTGACATTAAAAAAACAAACTCTGAGTAAACCTGAGGAAATCAGGAATTGGAAGCTACCAAACTAGTTTTCTGTTTCTAAATATGCAAATCAAATAATTGCCTTTTTCTTATAGCACCAAATCATGGGTGGCTGTGTTATCTAAATAGCATCTGTAAAACATCAATTGTTCAATTCTTTACTAAAATTTATTGTTTAACTTATGCTTTGCTGAAGCAACCTACAACACTTTGCAGATTAGTAAACATTTAAACATCAACTAGTAGAGCATATATCGTTTTAGTAGAGATGTTTGCCACTTGTAATGTTAACACAGAAATATAGGAGATAGAATAGAATAGAATAACAGAGTTGGAAGGGACCTTGGAGGTCTTCTAGTCCAACCCCCTGGCCAGGCAGGAAACCCTACACCACTTCAGACAAATGGTTATCCAACATCTTCTTAAAAATTTCCAGTGTTGGACCATTCACAACTTCTGCAGGCAAGTTGTTCCACTTATTAATTGTTCTAACTGTCAGGAAATTCCTCCTTAGTTCTAAGTTGCTTCTCTCCTTGATTAGTTTCCACCCATTGCTTCTTGTTCTACCCTCAGGTGCTTTGGAGAATAGTTTAACTCCCTCTTCTTTGTGGCAACCCCTGAGATATTGGAACAATGCTATCATGTCTCCCCTAGTCCTTCTTTTCATTAAACTAGACATACCCAGTTCCTGCAACCGTTCTTCATATGTTTTAGCCTCCAGTCCCCTAATCATCTTTGTTGCTCTTCTCTGCACTCTTTCTAGAGTCTCAACATCTTTTCTACATCGTGGCGACCAAAACTGAATGCAATATTCCAAGTATGGCCTTACCAAGGCATTATAAAGTGGTGTTAACACTTCACGTGATCTTGATTCTATCCCTCTGTTTATGCAGCCCAGAACTGTGTTGGCTTTTTTGGCAGCTGCTGCACACTGCTGGCTCATATCTAAATGGTTGTCCACTAGGACTCCAAGATCCCTCTCACAGTTACTACTATTGAGCAAGGTACCACATATACGGTACCTGTGCATTTTGTTTTTCTTCCCTAAATGTAGAACCTTACTTTTTTCACTGTTGAATTTCATTTTGTTAGATAGCATCCATTGTTCAAGTCTGTCAAGATCCTTCTGTATCTTGAGCCTATCTTCTGGAGTGTTGGCTATTCCTGCCAGCTTGGTGTCATCTGCAAATTTAATGAGTTCCCCATCTATCCCCTTGTCCAAGTCATTGATGAAGATGTTGAAGGGTACTGGGCCTAAAACAAAGCCTTAGAGTACTCCACTGCATACTTCCCTCCATGTAGATGCAGTTCCATTGAGGACTACAGGTTGAGTGCGGTTGGTCAGCCAGTTACAAATCCATCTGGTGATGCTGACTAACCCACATTTTTCTACTTTATCTAGTAATATGTTATGGTCTACTTTATCAAATGCTTTACTGAAGTCCAAGTAAATTATATCGACAGCATTCCTCTGGTCCACTAATTTTGTCACTTTGTCAAAGAATGCAATAAGATTAATCTGGCATGATCTATTTTTGACAAACCCATGGTCAAAGCAGCTTAACATTACCTACATCTATTCTATATAGGCAGTCTTTGAACTACAATCCAGGATCCTTGCTTAACAATGGCAGTTGGGACCAGAATTTCCATTGCTAAGTAATGGGATTATAAAGTGCACCATCAGGTAATCACGTCACATAGCATCAGCAATCCCTGCATTCCCTCTTGTTATAATTAAGGAACATGGGTCATTAAGTCAGTACCATCTTGCAACTTCCTGCCAGCTTCCAATAACCAAAGTCAATGGGGAAGCCAGCAGGAAGCCGCAAGTCCCAAGGCCGCATGCAAGCAGGTCAGCAGGCAGATAAATGGCAGCTGCTGGATGAAGGATTCACAAGTGGCTGGGGAGGCACAGCACAAGTGCAACCAGGTTCAAGAAGAGAGTACATGTGGGAGAATAACAGAATAACAGAGTTGGAAGGGACCTTGGAGGACGTCTAGTACAATCCCCCGGAGAGACTTACACAAGCAACCTGCAACTTTCCTTGCTGGCTTCTCGGAAGCCAGGAGGAAAGATTACATATCACAATCACATGACTGCAGAATGTTGCAGATAAGTGCCATCTGATTGGCCAGTGATGAGATTATGATCATGTGACTAAGAGGCTGCTGGGCAGTTGGGACTTCAAGGACCAGTTTTAACCACTATTCATTCATTCAGCGCTGTCATAGCTTCAAATGGTCACTGAATGATTGGTTGTTAACTGAAGACCACCTGTATATATTCCAGCAAACATTACCTTTCATTTCAGACATATTTAAAAGAGGACTACAAGAAAATGAAGTTATAATTAACTTTGAAAGGAAAAGGTAATTTTAGATATTCAGTGTCCCAAACTTTCTCTATTTTTTCCAAAAGTAATGATTATACGAAGTCACTAAAACTTATGATTTTAATACTTCAAAATCATTCTGTTTATACACTGAGGCAAAGAATAATACACGCACAATAATATATAACTTGTTCTAAGGTTAACAAAGAAAAATAGAACAATTAAAAAAAGAAAGCAGACATGAAACATCAAAAGCAACATTGGCTTGATCATTTAGCAAAACATGTAAATTCCTTTTCAATCCTTTTCAATTTCATGTAGAGCTGTGTTTCTCAACATTAGCAGCTTTCAGGTAAGTGGACTTCAACGCCCAAAATTCTTGGAGTTGAAGGCCTTATATCTTAAAGCTGCTAAGATTGAGAAACAATGTCTTAAGAGAATCTATGTACTTTTTAATGTACTTTTATACATTAAGCATGTATATGTGGAAATGGGAGCTCAAGAAATTATACTTGAAGTGTTGGTGCCCATGAATGTCTGTCTTTAGCTTATGAAGAAAGCAGATTTGTTTTTATTTCCTGTATTCAATAAGCCCAACAAAGCAATATAATAAAGTTATATACATTTTTTTTGCAACTCCAGCATTACCATTATAATAAAATCCACTGAAATTTTGCAGCAATAGTTGAGGTACTAAAGAAAAATAGGCATTTAGCTTGCCCAACCAGCGGTACAGTGCAGTTCAAGGGGGAAAAAAGGCAAGTGAACCCAGGATGATCCCCCTGCTTCACAGCTTTCAGTTTAAATCAAACAAGATTAATTGACTGTATGACACAATCTGCTGAATCAGGTTATAGTTTGAAAAATACCACACCTTTCTGTCAGAACATAACTTCTCTGAGCATGCAAGTTAGTAATGAGATTTTTTTCCAGTTGTTGGATTTGCTGTAGTATCACCAGAATCAAATCGGCTGAGCCAGTAGAATTGTTCAATACAAATAGAATAGAACAGAGTAGGAATAGAGGTCTATTCTCAAATCAGCCAATTTGAGTCTGGTGATACTACAGCAAACCCAACAACTGGAAAAAATTGCATTAGAAACTTGCATGCCTACACTACTCCTAAATCATTCCTGGCCTTCCTTTTTTTTTTTTTTACTGCAAATCCAATACACTTGAAAGAATTTCAGCTACAGAACACTTGAACTTTATTTTGATTGTTATTCAAGGCAATCAATGCCATACAAATCAATATACAGCATAAAAATCTTCAGAAGTCAGGTAGAATACTCACTTAAAAGGAACCCTCCTTCAAAATTTCCAAACAAATTCTGCTATACTATACAATACAATAGTATGTACTATACAGTTGTGTTTGTTTACTGAATCTCTCTGTCCAACCTGATCCACGTACAGACTTCTTCTTTAAGACATCCATCTATGCATCACACAATTTCCACTTTCTGTCACAGGTCAGGGAAAGCCCTGCAATTTTCACTATTAGCACATCAAGCTGATCAGTACAAACTAACATTAAAAAAATGCCTATGGTTAGAATGATTCAAATCCTGTAGTTTGCTTTTAGCAATTTCTCCCTCCCTAAGTGTTACCTTACTTAACATAAATTCTCTTTCTAAACAGTCCACATAATACAAATCTATCATTCAGATCACACATTACACTAACTAAGCCATTACGTTACATTACAGTAAGCCATTGTGTTTGGTTTTGCCTACACAATGTGTGAATCCAGGTTCTATGGTTGTATTAATCGCTGATTATGGCTTAAAAAACAATATCAAATTCAGCCAGTTGTGGTTTATGTAACAAAACATGGTGAAGCCAATGATAGGTTGTGCTTGCTAAGACGACCACAATTCTGCAATAACAAAAGCAGGATGTTCCTTTGGAAAACAATGCTCGGGACTGTAAAGTAAGTTAAGAGAAGGAAGTTGACGGGAGAAATGTTTTCAGTGAAACCTTGACAGGAGGCTGAGGAATAAAATAAGGTACACTAAAAAGGGAAGGAAATGCCCAAAGACAGAGTTGAGGGGGCGCCTGCGCCTGACCGAAGTGACAAGGGTGGGAAAAGAAAGACAGAAGTTCAACGCAGAGGCTCCGTGGCTTGGACTTTGGCCAAGGAGCTCCAAAAACATCCGCCCTCCGACCGCGCAGACGAAGCGAGAACATTCCCGCCGGCGAAGGAGCCCCTCCCCTCCCCTCCCCGCAATTCCACCCTCACAACCCGATTACCTCGAAACGGGGGCGCGCGCTCGAATCCGCGGTCGATCTCATGAAGGGGGGGGGAAAAAAAACCCTCTCCGCTCCCGACTCTGACCATGCGCGTTCGGAGCGCTCGCCTCGCTTGCCCAACAGCCGCTCCCGCCTGTCAAAACTACCTTCGCAAACATCCGACTCTCAACCGGAAAACGAACCCGTTTCCATGGAAACTCCTTTCCTCCCGCGCTCAACGTCAGGAGTGTGAAAGGAATATTTGCCCGGGTGCAAACCGAAGTTCGTGGAGTGGAGCGTTCCGCTTCCTAACAGGGTGCGAGAGTCATCGTGGAGAAAGGCCCGGGTTTAAGCGAGGGGTTTTATTATGTGTGTATGGGGAAGGGAGGCCGTAGTTTCCTGCACTGACCGTCCTTTTCTTGTGTGAAGGCCGTAGTTTCCTGCACTGACCGTCCTTTTCTTGCAGGTCAACCTTCTGAATATGCACGGCAAGTGCCCCTTCTGCCCGGCGTGGCACCTTCCTCGGGGACTGGCCCTGGGACCGTCGCTGTCCTCGGAGAAGGGCCTGGGAGTATGGTGTGTGGGGCACGCTCTGGAGCCGGGAATGTCGCTGCTTCTTGGGCAGCAGGTCGAAGAACAGAAGGCGGACGCTTCCTTGTCGGTGAGCTTCAGACAGCGGGCAAGAGCGACAGGTAGAAATAGGCCTGAAGACCGTCGGGGTGCTCTTGTCCCTGTTCCTGCTGACCCATAGGTCAACCAGGTGGAAATCTGGGATTAGAATCCAGTTTGGTGTAGTAGGGAAGGTGCTGGCCTAGAAACCAAGATATTGGGAATTGTGGGGCACCTATTAGGCATGAAAGCCAGCTGGGTGACTCTCTCAACTCAACTCACCTGGCAGGTTTGTTGTAGGGGGGAAAAAGGGGCAGGACTATTAGGTATGTTTGCTGCCTTGATTTATAATAAGAAAGCAGCATAAAATTATAATGATAATGCCCAGAAGCCCTCTCTGTGGGAAATGGGTGGCTAAGAAATAGGAAAGAATAAATACATAAAATGGTAATAACATCCCTTTTGGCAAAAGATGATGCAGTTTGTCATATCAGCTCTCCCAACTTTCCTGGTTTAAATTTGTAGGTATGGAAAGCCTGCTCTGTTGTGATTTTTATTTGAGAAAATGTTGGTTTGAATATTTCAGAATATATATATATATTCAGAAGATATATATATCTTCCAGATATGTTGTGCATTCCAGTCGATTGCCAAGGGAAAATGGATTAATGCCAGAAATTTCAGGACAGAGAAATAGAAGTATATATTCATACATGTATAAATCACTATAGAATTCATTACCACAGAATATAACATGTAGCTTAATGTCTATGGAGATTCTCAACCAGGTTATGATTGTCCCAAAGGTGCTTTTCAAAAGGCAGCTGGACTTCCTTGGATTTTTTTCTTTGAAAACATTTCTCTTCTCAACTAAGAAGCTTCTTCAGTTCTGGCTGAATGATGAGGAAAGGAAGGATTTATGTTCCTTAGCAGTCCTTTTCCTACCATTCAGACAGAACTGAAGAAGCTTCTTGAATGAAAAGTGAAACATTTTCAAGGAAAAAAATCAAGAAAGTCCAGTTGCCTTTTGAAAAACACCTTTGGAATAACATGTAGGTTAGATTACTTTTGAAGGTTAGACAAATTAATAGGAAGCCTAAATAACTAGCAGTCATAATAGCTACATACTGTCTACAATTCAGAGATAAGAGCTATTGTTAGGGTGGAACCTCAAGACATTGCCAATGACCTCGTGTTCTATTCGCAATTTTCTTATAAGTATCTTGGTGGGGGCATTCTAAGAAACAAGATGCTGGCCAAATTTTACCTATATTTTTCTCTATCACACACCGACATACATATATTCTCCCTCCCCATGAGAACTCCTGGTTCTGGTTTTGCATTCTTCATTAATTCCTTCATAGTCTATTTTTAAAGAAATCTTGAACAAAATTAGATAATGTTATTTCCTTCCCATTGAGATCCAAGTTAACATTTGTTATCTAATATATTGAAAATGTCAGTGAAATAATTATGAATATTACTCCATGTATGCAATGCTTTCCTTATATCCTCATTCCTAATATATATTTTATACAATATATACTACTATATATTAAAATGACATTTACATCTAGCACAAAATATGCATATATTATTCATACATGTTCCACTTCAAGACAAATCATATTTTGTTTTAATCTATCCAGCTATTATTTAAAATGTTACAGTGAATATCTTGCCTTAAATAATCATCTAAACAAAGTCTTGGCATTCCAGATTGTCAGTCAGCACTGACTATATAACACTCTATGGATAATTTAATAAGGTTTATGGAAATAATAGATTTCCTGGATTAACAATGCAGTAATGCTCTCAGTTGTAAGCTAGTTATAAAAGCTGGATATCCAAAATACATTAAGCTAAAAGGTTGCTGGCATTGCTGAAAAATACTCACTAAACGTTTAGTTCAATTTCCTACAGTTAAATGAACTATTACAGTAATAGTTAGTGAATATACAGAATACATTTTTATTTTTATTATTTTTTTATTATTTTGATTTTTATACCACCCTTCTCCAACAGAACTCAGGGCGGTGAACAGCCGAGATAAAACATAGCATATAAAATTTAAAAACAGTTTAAAAGATATTAAATAATTTCGGCCCATAATTTAAAACCAGCATTGTCTGGCCGACAGCACCCTGAGGGGGCCCTCTCTGTGCGAGCGTACTGGCTGGTGGGAGGCTATTGGCGGCAGAAGGCAGTCTCATAGATACCCCAGCCCTAAGCCATGGAGCGCTTTAAAGGTGGTCACCAACACCTTGAAGCGCACTCGGAAGACTACCGGGAGCCAGTGCAGCTCGCGCAGGAGAGGTGTTACATGGGAGCACCCCGTCGCTCCCATAATCCCCCGCGTGGCCGCATTCTGGACCAGCTGGAGCCTCCAGGTGCACCCCAAGGGGAGCCCCATGTAGAGAGCATTGCAGTAGTCCAGGCGGGAAGTGACGAGTGCCTGAGTGACCGTGCGTAGGGAGTCCCGATCCAGAAAGGGACGCAACTGGCATATCAGGCGAACCTGATAAAAAGCCCCCCTGGCCACGGCCATCATATGCTCTTCTAAAGATAGCCGTGCATCCAGGAGGACGCCCAAGTTGTGAGCCCTCTCCGTGGGGGCCAATGATTCACCCCCGATAACCAGCGATGGCACAGCTGGCTATATCGGGACGCCGGAAGCCACAGCCACTTGGTCTTGGAAGGGTTGAGTCGGAGCCTGTTTCTCCCCATCCAGGCCCGCACGGCCTCCAGGCACCGGGACATCACTTCAAGGGCATCGTTGGGGTGGCCTGGGGTGGAGATGTACAGTTGGGTGTCATCAGCGTACTGATGGAACTCCACCCCAAAGTCACAGATGATCTCACCCAGCGGCTTTACATAAATGTTGAACAGAAGGGGCGAAAGGACCGACCCTTGCGGCACCCCACAAACAAGTCGCCTCAGGGTCGACCGCTGCCCCCCTGCCAACACAGATTGCGACCGGTCAGAGAGGTAGGAGAACCACTGCAAAATGGTGCCCCCCACCCCCAACCCCTCCAACCGGCGCAACATGATACCATGGTCAATGGTATCAGAAGCCACTGAGAGATCTAACAGGACCAGGATAAAGGAGCAACCCCTATCCCGAGCCCTCCAGAGATCATCCACCAACGCGACCAATGCCGTTTCCATGCTGTGCCCAGGCCTGAAGCCAGACTGGAGCGGATCTAGATAGACAGCTTCATCCATGTACCGTGGAAGCTGCCGCGCCACCACACTCTCAACAACCTTCTCAATAAAACGAAAGTTGGAGACTGGATGATAGTTAGCCAAAACAGCTGGATCCAGAGAGGGCTTCTTGAGGAGGGGCCTCACCACCGCTTCTTTCAAGGCGGCCGGCAGGACACCCTCACTCAAAGAAGCGTTAATAATATTCTGGAGCCAGCCTCGTGTAACCTCCCATGTAACACATGAAACCATAATGTTTTTTAGATTTGGTTTATAAGTAGGTAGCCATGGCAAAGAAAGCAATAAGTTCATTAATTCTGAAAAATTCTGCTAAATGTGATTTGAATTGCAATAGTTTTATTCCCTAATCAGTAATTGTTATGAAGGCCAGACTATGGCAAATTATAAACTATAATGTGAGAGTTTAGTTATGTGAATACAGTCATGGTGATTTATAAACCATAGTTTAAGGATGAGGATTAATTGTAAACCTAACCATTATGATTTGTTTAACAAACCATAACTATGTGCAGGATCAATTATTGGATCATTGACTTTTAAAAGTTGAAACGCAACCATAGAAAGAATTGATGGATGAAAGTGTGTTGTAGCAGGATAGTTACAGATAGTCTTCAACTTACAATGGATCACTTAGGGTCTATTCAAAATTATGATAGACCCACTTTGAGGGTACTTACAACCCAGATTCGAAATTTGCCTGGTTGGGTGCTCAGCAACCGGGTCACATTTATGGCTATTGCAGAGTCCCATAGTCACATGACTGCGTTTATGCATAAAACAGACATTTACCTCCAGTTTTGTTTTGTTTTTTTGGCAAAACCAGTTTTACATAAAAACGGACATTTAATTCCAGTTGTTTAGCAAACGATTGATTCACTTTATGACTATGGTGTTTGCTAAACGACTGCCATAAAACAAATAAAATTGGATTGATTATGATTTTACGACTGTCACAGCTTATTACCATGCTCCATTAGAGTCATAATTACCTGCAACCATTTTCTACTGCTCCTTTTTTGCATTTGAAACAAAGACTTTGAATGCAATACGAGTACAAATATTCCTTGACTTAAGAACCATTCATTTAGCCATTGTTCAAAGTTACAATGATACTTAAAAAAATGATAACCAGTCTTTGCATTGGCAACTGTGACAACATCCCTACAGTCATGTGGTCACAATTTGGGCTCTTGGCAATGCATGCATTTATGATAGTTGCAGCATCCCAGGGTCATATGATCACTATTTGCAACCTGACCCACTGGCTTAGGATAAGCAAAATCTATGTGGGAAGCCAGATTCACTTAACAAGTGAATGATTCACGTAACAATTTCAGAGATTCACTTAACAACTGTGGCAAAAAAAGGCTGCAAAATTGGGTGCAACTCATTTTACAATTGCCTTGCTTGACAATGGAAATTGTTGTAAGTCAAGGGCTAACTGTTCTTCCTTTCTTCTAAAAAAGTTCGCATATTAGCTTGGGATAGAGAGGTGATACTTTTGATTTGTGTTCATAGCTGCAAATAAAAAGCCTGTCTGCATTCCTCAAGTTTATTTTATTTTATTTATTTGTTAAATTTATTTGCTGCCTTTCTCGTCGTGGGGCTACTCTAGGTGACTTTAATATGTTTAGTATGTTAGCTTAATTGTGTGAATTGATCTGTGGGTCAAAGAAACAGCCGCAAATTTGAGATCCTCACACACCTTGCTCTCAATTACAGGCATGTCCATTATCCAGTTGGAAAGAGGCATCTGCTTGCAATGGAATATCCAGCTGGAAGAGGTGAGAACAGAAACATATGGATAATTTAATTTTTTCTCAGAAATTTTCATCTATGGCAGGGGTGGACAATTAATTTTCACAAGGGGCCACTAGAGAAACTGGGATTCTTGTGGAGGGCAGCTGCCGCTTTGCTCCCTGATATCACTGCCTCTCCCATACCAACACTAATGCCAGGCAGGAACAGCCCATGGGCTGGATGTGTCCTGCAGGCCATAAAATGCCCAGGTCAGATCTACAGTAATGTAATAGATCGTTGACTATAACAATTCATGTAATAGTGAACATTTTAAGATTAATTTGTGTAATTTGTTTTTTAATTTATTTTTTAAGAGGAGTTGATATTTATTTTATTTATAATCAAGTTGAAAATGATTCATTCAGACCTTAATGTCAAGTACTGTACTACAAATTCTTTGATTTATTTATTTATTTATTTATTATATTTCTATACCACCTTTCTCCCGTAGGACTCAAGGCAGTGTACAGTCAAGAAAAATATAGATACACAAACATCATAAAATTGCTAATTAAAATTGTTACTTAGTTTGGTCAATTAAATAAAACCCAGAATTAGATAACATTTAAAAAATCATTCGCATGTTTGTATGTTTAGCCCTGCCTGTTGGAACATCAGGGTCTTGAGGGCACGGCGGAAAGCACGGAAATCAGGGATATTCCGTATCTCTGGGGGCAGTTCATTCCAAAGGGTTGGAGCCCCCACAGAGAAGGCCCTCCCCCTGGGAGTCGCCAGTCGACATAATTTGACTGACGGTACCCTGAGTAGTCCCTCCCTGTGAGAACAAACTGGTCGGTGGGAGGCTATTGGTGGCAAAAGACGGTCTCGTAGGTACCCAGGTCCTAAGCCATGGAGCGCTTTAAAGGTGATAACTAACACCTTGAATCGCACCCGGAAGACCACCGGGAGCCAGTGCAGCTCGCGTAGGAGAGGTGTTACATGGGCGTAACGAGCTGCGCCCATAATCACCCGCGCGGCTACGTTCTGGACCAGTTGGAGCCTCCGGGTGCTTTTCAAGGGGAGCCTCATGTAGAGAGCATTACAGTAGTCCATACGGGAGGTAACTAGGGCATGAGTGACCGTGCGCAAGACGTCCCGATCCAGAAAGGGTCGCAACTGGCGGATCAGGCGAACCTGATAAAAGGCACCCCTGGCCACGGCCGTCAAATGATCTTCTAAAGATAACCGTGAATCCAAGAGGACACCCAAGTTGCGGGCCCTCTCTGTGGGGAGCAAGATCTCATCCCCTATTGTCAGTGATGGTACCAGCTGACTATACCGGGACGCCGGAAGCCACAGCCACTCAGTCTTGGAGGGGTTGAGTCTGAGCTTGTTTCTCCCCATCCAGATCCGCACGGCCTCCAGGCAACGGGACATCACAGCAAGGGCATCATTGGGGTGGTCTGGGGTGGAGATGTATAGCTGTGTGTCATCAGCATACTGATGAACACTCACCCCAAAACCACGGATGATCTCACCTAGCGGTTTTACATAAATGTTGAACAGAAGGGGTGAGAGGACTGACCCTTGCGGCACCCCACAAATAAGGTGCCTCGAGGTCGACCTCTGCCCCCCTGCCAACACAAACTGCGAACGGTCAGGGAGGAAGGAGGAGAACCACCGAAGCACGGTGCCCCCTATTCCTAACCCCTCCAGCCGGTTCAGTAAGATACCATGGTCGATGGTATCAAAAGCCGCTGAGAGATCTAATAGGACCAGGATAGAGGAGCAACCTCTGTCCCGAGCCCTCCAGAGATCATCCACCAATGCGACCAATGCCGTTTCTGTGCTGTATCGTGACCTGAAGCCCGACTGGAACGGATCCAGATAGACAACTTCATCCAGGTATCAAGGTAGTTGTCGCGCCACTACACTCTCAACAACCTTTGCAACAAAGCGAAGATTGGAGACTGGACGATAATTTGATAATATAGCCGGGTCCAGGGAAGGCTTCTTGAGGAGGGGCTTCACAACCGCCTCTTTCAAGGCGGCGGGAAAGACACCCTCACTCAGAGAAGCATTTATAATCCCCTGGAGCCAGCCTCGTGTAACCTCCCGGGAGGCCAGTACCAACCAGGAGGGACACGGGTCCAATAAACATGTGGCAGCGTTAAGCTTGCCCAGAATCCTGTCCACGTCCTCAGGAGCCACAGAGTCAAACTCTTCCCAGATAACGCTCTCAAGACCTGCCCCCGTTTCCTCCCCTGGATCTACCCAATCGGAGTCCAGGCCTTCCCGAATCTGAGCGACTTTATCATGCAGGAATTGTACAAAATCCTCAGCTCGACCCTTTAAGGGATCTTCCTGTACCCCCACCTGAAGTAGGGAGCGGGTCACCCTAAACAGCGCAGCTGGGCGGTTCTCTGCAGATGCAATAAGAGCGGAGAAGTAGCTAGACTTCGCCGCTCTTATCGCCACTAGGTAGGTCTTAATATAAGATCTCACCTGTGTTCGGTCAGATTCAGATCGGCTTGTCCTCCAATCACTCTCCAGGCGTCTTTTCCGACGCTTCATCTCTCTCAGCTCCTCGGAAAACCAAGGAGCTAGACGAGATCGGCATCGGGTCAGAGGCCGCAAAGGCACGACGCGGTCCCAGGCCCCAGTAGCCGCCCTGTCCCAGGCGACCACCAGGTCCTCAGTCGAGTCGTGAGCCAGAGTCTCAGGAAATGGCCCAAGCTCCATCAGGAACCTTTCGGGGTCCATCAGGCGCCTGGGACGGAACCATTTGGTTGGTTCCGTCTCCCTGCGGTGGGTGGAAGTGACTTGAAAGTCCATGTGAAGGAGAGAATGATCAGACCATGACAAGGGCTTGATGTCTATATCCCCTATTCTTAGATCATTCAGCCACTGATCAGAGACAAAAATCAAGTCCAGAATGTGATTCCCCAAGTGGGTAGGGCCTTGAACTACCTGGGTCAGGCCCATGGCCGTCATGGAAGCCATGAACTCCCGAGCCATCTCCGACATCTCACCAGCAGATGGCAGGTTAAAATCCCCCATAACAATAAGTCTGGGGGTTTCCACCGCCACCCCGGCTATAATGTCGAGCAGCTCAGGCAGGACCGCTGTTACGTGGCAGGGAGCCAGGTACGCAATCAGTAGGCCCATCTGAATCCCCTGACCCCACTTCACAAGGAGGGACTCACATCCGGCTATCTGAGGAACAGTGGCCTCCCTCGGGCAAAGACTTTCTCTAATGATTGCTGCCACTCCCCCACCCCTTCCCTGAGTCCTTGGCTGATGGAATGCACGGAAACCTGGCGGGCACATTTCCACAAGGGGAACTCCTCCCTCCTTGCCTAACCAGGTCTCCGTAATCCCTGTCAGGTCAGCACCCCGCTCTGAAATAAGATCATGAATGAGGGGGGCTTTATTTACCACTGACCTGGCATTACATAACATCAGCCGTAGACCCAGGGTCTGAGACTCTGAACAACCCGGGAAACGAGCAGTGCTTTGGGGGTCGGAGTGGGCAATCGCTCGTAAACATCGAGTGCGCACTCCCGAAACATAATATGGCCCCCTGCAGCCGTCATATCTGCCCCTCCCACTTACTATACTAATGGCCATCGCTTCATCCACCTGCATCCTTGTCAGATTTCTGTCCCCATCCTCCCCACCATGATTATCAGACCCATTACCCCTTTCAGTGGATTTATGGATCCCCCCAGATCCATTCCCACAATCCCTCCCAGAACCCCTTAAAATAGAACTTAAAGATTTATCTAAAAACCCCCAAAGCCGTCGTTTTTTTGCAAACCACCTCTCAGGGTTCCAAAACCCGTCCTTAAGGGCGGCCCTTGATAACTGAGAGGGCCAGACATGCGAGAGGGGGGAATCTCGCAGTGCAAGGAGCTCCGCAGTTGAATACATCAAAGATAGGAGCGAGTTGAAGGAGATGAAGGATCATTTTCTTCTAAGAGTGTTAGAGATGGTTAAGACAGGTAATTTAAAATAAGGGAGGAAATAGATGTAAAAGGGTGATATACACAAATTAGTGATCTTATGAGTGACATTTGAAGCCTGGAACTAAACATAAAAGAATCACTGATAAAATAAATTCTGATAAAACTTCTTAATCAGCTAAGAATTTTTTAATACTTGACATAAATATGAGCTGATAAAACTTTTAAGAGATTACCACCCAGTGAAAATAATGAAAATAAATCCATTAAATGAAAATAATGTATTAAAGAGCAGAGCATACATGCTAGATAAATTTTGAAAACAAATACAGTAATGAAAGGAAAAAATGGAATTTTCTCTGGCATAAATGATTAGGAAGATTATAACAGGTAGGGAGTTGTGAAGGAAGGAATGTGTTCTTAAATTTGCTTTCAATAGCAATGTCTACTAAAATAAGTATCTATAAAGGCAGATGAGAAATTCTAATCTTCATGCAAGACATAGACAAGTATAGGAGGTCACATTTTATGATTTTTGTAATTGTTTCTGTAACTTTCTGAGATAGAAATTTCTATGTTCCATTTATTCACTAGATTTCTCCTTAGCCATTGATTCTTTCTAATTTTAAAATACTATTTATATCTTTGAGAAAAGGATTAGGTTAGGCGTACTTCAGTATGCTATTATCAGCTCCACATCTATATCTATTCCTTTTTGCAGTTCTGGGACAGAAGTGGTAAATATATAATAAAGCTCCTCATGGGCAAACTTGAAACCAAATAATGGTCACAAATGTAGAGATTTAGCTTCAACTTTTAAAAACTGGTTCTCCATATTTACACCCACAATAAAACATTATTTCATTACTTTTTTCATCCAACTATAATAGCAATAGCACTTAGACTTATTTACCGCTTCATAGTGCTTTTACAGCCCTCTCTAAGTGGTTTACAGAGTCAGCATATTGCCCCCAACAATCTGGGTCCTCATTTTACCCACCTAGGAAGGATGGAAGGCTGAGTCAACCTTGAGCCGGTGAGATTTGAACTGCTGAACTGCAGCTAACAGTCAGCAGAAGTAGCCTGCAGTACTGCACTCTAACCACTGCGCCACCAAGGCTTTAGCTTGAGTTTGAAGCACATACTATCCCTAAAAGTTTCCCTTGTAAATTTTTGTATGGAATATTAATATTTAATTTTAATAATTTTGTATGAGTATTGGCTAACAGGCAAGGACAACCCATTCCTGGATGCTGCCACCACTACAATGGAGAATATTAATATTTAATTTTAATAATTTTGTATGAGTATTAAATTGATTGTTTTAGTTTCCAAATATATTAAGAGCAAAGTGGTCAATCAGCAGTCCAGTGACTGTTTTTTTTAAAAAAAAAATTAAACATTACAATTAATATACTGATAACAATAGTTAACAAACATCCAAACATATATAGATTCTAAAGCTATTAAAAGAAGAACTATATCCATAGTATAGATTTATAAATACAGAATGAAGCAAAATATTTTAACATTGGACATATTGAAGAATAATTTTGAATAGTCGACTCTGAAATTAAGAGTGTCCACTTCTATAGCTAGACTGGGTATAAAAGATGTTATAGAAAGGGAACAAGTTTTACCTGACATGATTGAGACTGAATTGAAAATGGATTTAAAAATGGCAGGCTACAAGAATGACATGGAAAAAGATATTAAACTGAACATTCAAAAGAAATCAGATGATGTGTTTTTTGTATATTTAAACAAGAAAATAAAAACTAACAAAACTATTATAAAGTAAGAAAAAAAGAAGCAAAAAGTGCAAGAAAAGAAAAAGTTGAAAAATAGGAAAAAAGTATCAAAATTGACTTGTAATATTTTTCATAGCAGTAATTATATATTTTAATGTCTCCCTCTCTATATCATATTGCTCTTCTTTCTATAATCTATTCTGTTTTATCATCAAAACCATAAATCATAAGTTTATATTTGTTCATGTTTATGCAGAAAGTCCGTAAGAGGCTTCCAGTGAGCAATAAATGTAGATATGTATTTAATCAAAAAAAGTTTCATCAAAATCTGTCAACTTTGGCCCTAAAATTTTATGGTTGGTAAACTACACAAGCTGCTTTTCAATATAATACAGCATTAAAGTGTTGTTCTTTAATTCATCAAGAAAACTACTCCACTCTCAAAACATAGATGCCAGTTTTCTCTATTTGCATGGTGTCATATTGCCACTCTCTCACTTAGTGCAGTCTTTATCCTCCCCCAAAATAACATCAAGAGCCATTCTTTTTTTTATTAATGAAGAGTCGATGTATGTGCATGTGTATGTGTATTTGTTGTTGAGTATGATTTTCTCACTAATCTGTAAATATTGTGGATCTTCATTGATCCACAGGATCATCAATATCTGGAAGAGAGTTAAAATATTATATATTAGATTAATATGCAATTAGATTCATTTCCCAATATTATCAGAAAAAGGAAGAAAAGGCTCCTGTCCTAAACTTCCTAGAGGGTTGAGCTAAAGTGCTAAGGTTAGGAGTTAGTGCATATGGGTTTTCTATAATCCTAGTCAAATAAATTCAGAAAAAGTCTATGGATGGCCATTTCCAAATACTGTATTATTTAATAAATGTGCTCTGTTCTTAAGGGTTGGTTTTTTTTGTTTTTTGTTTTTTTTGTTTTTTTTTTTTTGGAGGGGTGGGTGGGCTGGAATGATATTGCATCTTGCACCAAAATGAATATTTAACACTATGTGTTTTATAGCCTGGTGAAGCAAAGCCGTGTTGAAGATGAAGCCAATGTAATGTTGGAATGGATAAATGGGGAACTACACATCAAAGTCTGCTGTCCAGTTGATGTGGGCAGCGAACTGCTATGCTGGTTAATTGAATCACAGGACAGTCCTAATTGTCTGAAAAATAATATCCTAGCACATACCTCAGATGGGGAGCTTGATACAGAAAAGAAAACACTGCAAAAAATGCCAGTAATAACCACAACCAAGACCAGAGATTTAGAAGAGGAAACTTTGCTTCAAAAAGAGGATATTGTCCAGGATTCTTCTGCAGGTACTGTACATGGTTTAGAAATTTTGAATTTAGAAAGCAGTACCATACATCATTCTGGCAAATCAAATAGGAAATGAAATATACAGGTAGTGCTCCTTTTACAACCATAGTTGGGCCCAAAATCTTGGTTATTGAACAAAGCGGTCATTAAGCGAGGCACCATGTGACTGCTTTGTTCAACAATCACAATTGCGGTGGTTAAAAAGACCTCCAGGGAGGGGACATGGGCCTCTCAGATGTAATGGCACGGGGAGAGGACACGGGCCACCTACCACACCCGAGAGGCCCAGGCTTGCTCTCTCTGCCCCAGCAAGGAGAACAGTTACGAGAACTACGACATTCGCTAGCATTTTCACCAGATTTGGTCCGTTCCTCAAGGGCACCAAGGAGCGTCACCTTTGGAAATCTTAACTTTGGAAGGTTCAGAATGCTGGAATTTGCTAGTATTCAGGCTTCCCCACGGAAGGGCAGAAATGCTAGTGAACCCCAGGGTTCTGCACAGGGGGGGTAGGAAAATTCCTTGGCATGCTGGGGAAATGGATCTCAAATCCAACATCCCTTCCACAATTCCCCTGCCCATTTCCTGATTAACTTTTCTGAAGAAGTTTGTGGAAGAGGTTGTAAATGGCAATTACATGGTTGCAGAGCACTTAAACAGGTTTTTCAAGTGGCATCATGTGACTTGGCTGGGCCAGCATGATATTTTACAACAGCCAGAAGTGCTTTATGGGTCAAAAAGTGCCCTCTCAAGGCTTTCATGACTGCAAAGAGTCTAAACAACTGGTTGTAAGTCAACAATTGGCTGTAAAAATGGCTTTATTTCTGATAACAATATCTTAAAGAATTCACTGTCACATTCTGTTCACAGGAAGTTTTTAAAAAGTGCCACCTTTGAATTGTTGTATGGCCTTGATCTATGTATATAATGTTGGTATGTTACCAATATTAACATTGGACTAGAAGACCTCTAGTTAGAGGTCTGGTTGGACTAGAAGACCTCCCTTCCAACCCTGTTATTCTATTCTATTCAATATAATTTTATAAGGTAAATTCTTGAGTTGTCCCATATTTTTGAACAAACTAAGATTATTGAAAATATTTAAATGAAAATCTGATAAACCTTTCAAGCTGAATGCTCCATTTTCTATATTTTTATTTATTTTACAAATGGTACTCTAATGGATGGCATTATGAAGCCCACAAAAGAATCATTTGCAAATAAGCTTTCCTAGTTATTATTTTTTAATTTTCACTAGTAATTTCAAAGCACAGTGTTTTTCCATTCAGTATCTCAGTGTGGGATTGGGAACTGAGTCTGAGAATATTTATACTTTGTCTAGGACTGCTGAGCAGATAGACCTGCTGAGTAGAAGTCATGCTAGTCTTTCTTACTGAATTTAATTCAGGAACTCTGGCCAATACAGTTGTATAAGCAGCAATTTGTTATACTGCTATCACTCATGAAGTATGTTGCTATAATGCAGAATATGTTATGTAAAATATCTGACTGTACAATTATACCACAAAGCAAAGCTAGTTTGGTTCAGTAGTTAGGGCACCAGGCTAGAAACCAGCAGAATGCGAATTCTAGTCCTGCTTTAGTCATGAAAGCTGGCTGAGTGACTTTGGTCCAGCCCCTCTGTCTCAATCCATGATGTCAAGCTCAGGTGGCAAACTGGTCAGTAAATTCTTATCACAGCCAAATGGAGCAACACCCGGTTGAACAGAAGCAAGCAGGCCTTGCACTTGTAAAAAAACCACTAAGACATTTTTTTTAAATCTACAAACCTGTGTTTGGTTTACATTGTTATAGCTGCTGCATTTTGTTCCAAAACCTAGCAATTGTTCAATAAATATATAGAAAATTGTCTTAATCAAAGATTTTCCCATAGGTTTTAGTACAAAATAAAATGAAAATATTAAATCATTTTAATCCTTTGAGAAGAGTTATTCTTTCACTTACTTTAATACCTGTATACGTACTGCAACGTATTTAATGTAGAAGCTCAAAGTATGGATAAGCCTTAAAAATACAGGGAATCCTCTTAGCTACTCCAATTGGAACAGGCAATTCAAGTGTTAAATGAAGTGATCACTAAGTGAAACTGCAACTACACTTATTGTTTTTCTTCAGCTTTCCTTTGCTTTACAGATTTACAAAGGTTGTAAATGTGAGGATTGGTTGCAAAGTTACTCCTTTATCACGTCATAACTATGAACAGTCAATGTCCAATGACATTGCTAAACAGTGACTACCTGTGTAGGATATTTATATTTCAAATAAAATGCCCTTCTTGTTGTAGTTCTCAAAACTACAATTTGATCAATTGATAACTACTTTGTCAATTGATGACTACTACTTTAGTCTGCATCCTGAGTCAAATATTTCCAAAGGCTTAAAGTATGAAAAGGTATGGAATTAATAAGTTTTACTATAAAGTGACTATAACTAGTTGATGTTTTATTAAGAGAGCTAACAGTTCCTGATTCAATTCTTCAGGTATTCCTGGTATTTCCAAGTTTGCAGGACAGGAGTTGAAGGACAGAACCCGCTGTGTTTCTATGTTGAATAAGAAGTTACAGATGGAACAGATTCTTGGCTTAGATGTCAATCTCAAGAAAAGCAGTAGAAGTTCTTCCTTGCAAATTGAACAATGGAATACTAAAATAAAGAGTAGAAATAATAAACTTTCAAACAAACATCCTGTTTCCAAGGATGATGAAGGCAAAGAAGATTCTCAGGAAGAGCAGATGGCTGAGATAAAGTCAGATGCCACATTGGCTGAAACCTGTTCAAACCGAACACCACGCAGTGCAGTTTGTATCAGTGCCGTTTTGACTGATAATGTAGAGCCATTAAGGAAAGAATCTTGTGCTGAAAGAATCCCAAATGGATATCTTCCAAGTGTACCCAAAGACAGGGCAGAGAATCCTAGACAAGAGGAACAGTCACATAGATACAAGCCTGATGATTCTGCTCACACAGAATCAAGCACTAAAAGACGGCACAGGTGTAAAGAGTGTGGGAAAGCCTTCCTTCAGCTTTGCCACCTGAAAAAACATCATTTTGTGCACACTGACCACAAACCATTTTTGTGCACAGAATGTGGCAAGAGCTATAGTTCAGAAGAGAGTTTCAGAGCGCATATGCTGGGCCACAGCGGAGTACGGCCTTTTCCCTGCTCACAGTGTGATAAAACATACGGCACCAAGCGTGATCTTCAAGAACACCAGGTACTGCATACAGGCCAGCGTCCCTACATCTGTCCAGATTGTGGAAAATCATTTGCCCGTCGACCTTCCCTTCGTATCCATTGCAAGACACATCAAGTTAAACAGCCAAACTCTACCTCTTCTGCCTACCAGTGTGTGATATGTGGACGGCACCTGGCCAATCCAGGATCACTGCGGAACCACATGCGCCTGCACACAGGGGAACGTCCTTATACTTGTCCCTACTGTCCCAAATCATTCCGTCAGCAAGGCAATCTACGTGGGCATCTTAGGTTACATACAGGGGAGCGTCCTTTCCACTGCCATTTCTGTGGAGATGCCTTCCCACAGCATCCTGAGCTGCTCCGTCATCTGATTTCCCACACAGGTGAGGCTTATCTGTGCACAGTATGTGGGAAAGCACTGCGTGATCCCCACACATTACGAGCTCATGAACGCCTGCATACAGGCGAGCGGCCTTTCCGCTGCCACCTTTGTCCCAAATCCTATCCTTTAGCAACAAAACTCCGACGTCATCAGAAAGCCCATCATGATGACAAACCCCATCAGTGTAACATTTGTGGCATAGGCTACAGCCTCCCTCAGAAACTTCAGCGCCACAAGCTTGAGCACAAAGACGATATAGTCAAGGATTCATCCAAATCTGACATTAAAGATCTCAAGGATACTGCCATTTCAGAGCAGCCTGCTGTGTTGGTAGTGCACACACTGAATGTGGCAGAGCCTGGCAGGAAAGCAGAAGTCCTCGTCTCTAACACTAAGTACAATGCAGCACAAGAGGGCTCTGCCCAGCACAAAAATGTCATTGAGATTGCTGAGGGAGAATGTATCATTGTGCAGGAGCAGGCTTCTCCCAATAACATGTTTATTCTTCCAGAGGGTGTTGGTTTTAGTGCTGTGGCAGAAGTTACTGAGGTAGAATTGGGAAGCTGAGCATTGTGTTTATTTTGGATTATCTGGAATTTATGTATTTTATTTATTTAGAGAATTGATAAAGCCGCCAGTTCACTTTCAGTGACTCTAGGTGGCTTACAAAAACTTAAAAATCCAATGTACAAAGAATAAAAACAATAATCCACCACCCCACCCCACCCCACCCCACCTTACCTTGGCAACAACAAACAAGCAATTTGCTTTTTCTATAATTATGAAAGGGCAGCATGATGTCTTAAAATCACAGAATGCCAGAGAAGTGCAGGTATAGTTGGTCCTCAATTTACAATTGTAATGAAGCATCATGGCTTCAAAATCTAAAGGACTGGTTTGGACAACACTCAGCAGCACTTTTTCATGCGGCTGTTGATAAAAATAGGATTGCCAACATGATTGGCAATGTCCAATGACAGCTATGGCACAAGAAGAATAAAGCCTGCCCATTATAGTTGGAAGTTGTGTCCATAGCCGTAAGTGGAGGACTATCTGCATTTAACTTCAAATTTGGCTGAATTATCAATATCAGGGCCTAGAGCTTTTATGATTGAGTTGGATGCTAGGCTCAGTGAATAGATCAGAAGTTATTTATTAAAAATGTTCACTAACTAACTTACGCACAGTCAATATTGGTTTAAATTGAGCGAGGACTGTTTGTATCTATTTGCAGTTCTTTAAAAAAAATACAGTGGTAATGCAGACAAGCATTGATCAAGTGGTTCAGTTAAATAATTTGAATAACTCAGTTGGTTATATCCCTCCACATGGAATGTTTAATGTGGCTCTGAGAGCAATCTGTCTATTGACTAGCCAAATCATGTGATTGATAAGTGCATACAACTTCTGCAGGGTCATACATGATGTAGGATAGGCTAAATTAAAAAATTGCAGTCTTGCTGAGAATTATATATCCCGATAGTTGTGATGTAGACAAAATATTTCTTTTTGAGATCAAGTAAATATTGAAATTAATAAAACAGTCTTTGCCAAGTCTCATTATTCAATGTGGTGAAACTCTTAATATCTCTTAACTATTGATATTTCAATATACTCTAAACTTTCTTCGTTCTCCCCCATAAGTAGAACTTGGGTTTTTTTTCTTTATTTAATAAATCCAAGTAAGCATTAGAGGCCTTACAGTCTATATCCCAAAGGTGCTTTTTCAAGAGGTAACAAATAAAATCCTTCCATTCCCCATCATCCAGTCAGAAGCTGAAGAAGCTTTTTGGATGAGAAGCGAAACGTCTTCAAAGAGAAGCCAGAAAGTCCAGTTGCCTCTTGAAAAAGCACCTTTGGGACAACCATGACCTAGATGACAGAATCTCCATAGACATTGTAATATAATTTATATACTACAAAACAGAGGCTCTATTTAATAATAAGGTAAACACATTTGTTAGGGCCCAGAGAGGCAAATACAAAAAATTATCTCTTTCCACTTGGGTTTTGCAGCATATGTTTCCAAGGATAAAATTAAGAATAAGTCTCAATTTAGTTGCCAGATCTGTTTCTTCCTGTACTTTCTTAAATGATCCTTGCTTATAAGAATCAGGTTTTGCTCATTACTTATCTTGATTCATATTAAATGTATGGTTCCCAAAATATTTAAATAAAAATATTTTCCTACAATATTTGATAGGGATAATATTTGTAGTTATTCTTTTCTGCAAGGCAGCATTTTGGTCTCTTTGTTATTGCCTGAAATGGTACAGTTGAACAATAGATATGTCAAAAACTATTGTGTGATTATTTAGTAAAAACTATTTGGAAATGTATGTGTGCACAAAACATATCTATATATATAAAAGTGAAATACCACTCACGCATCATCACAAAATCTCCAGAACCGTAAAGCCTACAAACTTGAAATTTGCCACGTATGTTCCTCTTGGCTTCTAGGTGCTCACTAAGAAAGGATTTTTCAAATGACCATCAGAACATTAGTATTTCCTATATTATTATTAACATGCTCTGATGCTAAGGAGTTCTACTTCCCCTCCCCACCTGAAAAGAAATCTGTTCCAAATACAAAACACAAGCAGAGGAGAGGAGTTTCAGTTTTACTTTCACAGCTGCAAGGATAGGGGAGGCTTCTGTGGGGCAAGGCTGAGGGAGAGAAGGGGATAGAATAGGAGAGGCTTCTGTGGGGCAGGCCTGAGGGAGAGAAGGGGCTAGGATAGGAGGCGTTTCTGTGGGGCAAGGCTGAGGTAGAGAAAGGAGAGGACAGACCGTAACTACTCATTAATTTTCAAGCTGTGTCGATTTATCAAGCCCAATCACATAGTTTCATAGCGGAGCACGGATATTCAGCTAATTTCTTATAATTCTTCAAATCCACAGTTCTACTTTAATAAAGTATAGATAAGCAAGTTCAGTGTTGCCTATTTTATGAAGAAAAAGTCTAGCAAAACTGCCACTTACAGGTGAAACTCGAAAAATTAGAATATCGTGCAAAAGTTCATTTATTTCAGTAATGCAACTTAAAAGATGAAACTAATATATGAGATAGACTCATTACATGCAAAGCGAGATAGTTCAAGCCTTGATTTGTCATAATTTTGATGATTATGGCTTACAGCTCATGAAAACCCCAAATTCACAATCTCAAAAAATTAGAATATTGTGAAAAGTTTCAATATTCTAGGCTCAAAGTGTCCCACTCTAATCAGCTAATTAAGCCACAACACCTGAAAAGGGTTCCTGAGCCTTTAAATGGTCTCTCAGTCTGGTTCAGTAGGAATCACAATCATGGGAAAGACGGTTGACCTGACAGTTGTGCAGAAAACCATCATTGACACCCTCCATAAGGAGGGAAAGCCTCAAAAGGTAATTGCAAAAGAAGTTGGATGTTCCCAAAGTGCTGTATCAAAGCACATTAATAGATAGTTATGTGGAAGGGAAAAGTGTGGAAGAAAAAGGTGCACAAGCAGCAGGGATGACCACAGCCTGGAGAGGATTGTCAGGAAAAGGCCATTCAAAAGTGTTGGGGACTTTCACAAGGAGTGGACTGAGGCTGGAGTCAGTGCACCAAGAGCCACCACACACAGACGGATCCTGAACATGGGCTTCAAATGTATTCCTCTTGTCAAGCCACTCCTGAACAACAAACAACGTCAGAAGCATCTTACCTGGGCTAAAGACAAAAAGAACTGGTCTGTTGCTCAGTGGTCCAAAGTCCTCTTTTCTGATGAGAGCAACTTTTGGATCTCATTTGGAAACCAAGGACCCAGAGCCTGGAGGAAGAATGGAGAGGCACACACTGCAAGATGCTTGAAGTCCAGTGTGAAGTTTCCACAGTCTGTGTTGATTTGGGGAGCCATGTCATCTGCTGGTGTTGGTCCACTGTGCTTCATTAAGTCCAAGGTCAACGCAGCCGTCTACCAGGAGATTTTGGAGCACTTCATGCTTCCTTCTGCAGACGAGCTTTATGGGGATGCTGACTTCATTTTCCAGCAGGACTTGGCACCTGCCCACACTGCCAAAAGTACCAAAACCTGGTTCAATGACCATGGGATTACTGTGCTTGATTGGCCAGCAAACTCGCCTGACCTGAACCCCATAGAGAATCTATGGGGCATTGCCAAGAGAAAGATGAGAGACATGAGACCGAACAAATGCAAAAGAGCTGAAGGCCGCTATTGAAGCATCCTGGTCTTCCATAACACCTCAGCAGTGCCACAGGCTGATAGCATCCATGCCACGCCGCATTGAGGCAGTAATTGATGCAAAAGGGGCCCAAACCAAGTACTGAGTACATATGCATGCTTATACTTTTCAGAGGTCCGATATTGTTCTATGTACAATCCTTGTTTTATTGATTTCATGTAATATTCTAATTTTCTGAGATTGTGAATTTGGGGTTTTCATGAGCTGTAAACCATAATCATCAAAATTATGACAAATCAAGGCTTGAACTATCTCGCTTCGCATGTAATGAGTCTTATCTCATATATTAGTTTCACCTTTTAAGTTGCATTACTGAAATAAATGAACTTTTGCACGATATTCTAATTTTTCGAGTTTCACCTGTAGTTCCCTGACACAGGGCAGATACTTTGACATGTTATCTTACTTGATGCTGAACCCTCAATTTCTAACAATGGTTTCCTCATAAAAAGCTAGTTGAATATATTTGTCTTTATTTGTTAATGGGTATACGGTATCTGGAATATTGTAAATTGTTTTAATTTGGTGAGCTGTTTTCCAGTTAGCTGTGCTATCACAGTGTTGCAGTTTACAGATGTTGTTGCACCCTTACTGTGGCATTTTGTCATATACTTACCACATGATTCTTTTCAATAAAAAAAACGTATGCTGGGAAGCAAAGTCCAAATTTCAGTTGTAATCTTTATTTCCAATAATGCTTCAAGGGCCCACATACCGTGTTTCCCTGAAAATAAGACCCTGTCTTATATTTTTTTGAACCCTAAAATAAGCACTTGGCCTTATTGCCATGTGCTCAAAAGCCCGATTGGGCTTATTGTCAGGGGATGTCTTATTTTGTATATCCTGCAGACATTCTTAGAAAGTAAATATATGATATGGGTTGTATTCTAGTTCTTTCTTTAGGAGTGCGTGTATCTGACCAGAAAAAAAAACAAAACAGAAGTTATCTAATGTAGTTAAAGCACTCTGGGAAATTAGAACAGTAGTAGAGGACAATAGCATCAGCTTACTTCCTATTAAGCAGATGCTTTGTTACTAAACATTTTCAAAATGTCCTCCACATACCTGAAGATTTATCTTTTTAAAAAATGTCTCTGATAATTACTGACTTCCCACGGTTGAAAGCATTACATGAAGTCTGTGCTATAAGCTGTTGTGGATCTCTGAGGCAATAAGATTTAGAACTCCAATGTAGAGTAGCTGGTCTGTATTTTTAGCTGTTCCAGCACCTGGTCCAACATTTTGCATGCAACAAATATTGACGCAGCTGTACGTGACCTCAGTGAACTTAGCGACTCCTTGCATGAGTCAAAACAGCTGTCTTCTTCCTTTGCTTTGGTATCCAACTTGCTCTTTGAGCTTAGTACTAACTGAAGTTACATTGAGGTATCTCATTCATTTGCTGATCTGAAGTACTAAGTGGTGCTTGCTCACAGATATGGGGGCATTCTGATCATTGCTTTTTAATTGATAAATATTATTACCATAAGGGTCTGCTAGGATTTACTACAGACTTTCTAATTTTTACAGAGCATGCTGGTAAGAATGCAAGCTGTATGAAGGAACTGTTTTAGGTGATATAATTGTATAACTTGTATGACGTGCTGCTGACAAATCCACACCAGCTTCTAGTAAAAAAAAATTCTAAGAGCCTTTAGACGTTATGTTAAGTATTTTGCAAAATTACAGAAGTTAAATCAACTAGTTTGTCATTTACTGAGTCTTCCTATCCCCTTTTGAATAATACAATTCTGTTTATCTTTCTCTACCTTTCAAACCTCTTCCTGTTATCTAGGAGTCTTTAAATGGTACGGTAGATTCTAGATTACTTAAACCAGTTCCTTCACTACTGTGGGATTTAATTCATTTGGCCTTGGAATCTTAAATTCAATTACGGTAGCCAGTAGATTCTTACTCTGACTTTCTCAGTCCTGAATTTTATCCCCCTTTCCCATTTCTTCAATCAAGTGGAGAGACAAAGTTGTAAAATAATCCCATCCTCTCTCTATATCCTTTTATTACTTTCCCATGCAAAAAATGAGTAGCCTTCTTGATTCTTTTTTTCATTTCTGATGTACTCCCCAAAAAAACCTTATTATATTTTGCATTCCTCACTAACCTCATCTTATTATTTGAGTTTTAAATCCCAGCTCCATCCTAAAGCTTGGGCTATAGCTTGTACTCCTCATTAACCCCTGCTTACTTTTTCTTTATATCTTCTTTCTTAGCCTATCAATGAACCTACTGTTCCTCTAGACCAGGGATGTCAAACTCACATTGTCACGACAGCATCACATGATGTATCAGGACTTTTTTCCCCTTCATTAAACCGGGCGTGGTCATAGCTAGCGCATGACATATCTGGCCCGCAGGTCAGGAGTTTGACAACCCTGATCTAGACAGACTTATTTTTTTCCCAATTTTCCTTATGGGGATTGTTGGTATATGTTTATCTCCCATGCCTCTTGAGCTTGTTTACTTTTGAGGATTTTCAGCTATGGTGGTTGTTCAGTTTTGACCTAAATTCATTAAACACTATACATAATTTGCTTTTCTCAAAGTTTTGAACTTCAACATCACATGTTGCTCTAGTTTTCTTTTTTCTTTTGGTCAAGATTTGGTCCAGTTAATTGAACTTGTTTCTTCAGGTTTCTGAAAAAATGAAATTGTCTGCAAATAAACTAGAAACCTTTGGATCTCGTATTTTTATTTGAGTTAGAATCCAGATAATCCGCTTCATCCTGAGTTCTCTGAAGCTATTGTGAAACCACCTTCTCAACCAGTTTCCCCAAAAAGCCGGTTAGATACTGGGCAAAAATTGTCCAATGTAGTGGAGTTCAGCAATGGCTTTTTGAGGAGGAGGTGAATGAAGAGATAGAGATAAATAACTCCCTGATTTGAAGAATTTACCACCGCCAGAATCCATTCACACAACACCCCTGGGCCATTTTAACAAGCCAGGAGG